AGTTATTTTGTGGGATACTAGTATGCTGAGGTCAAATAATAATAATAATAATCAGCTTAAAAGTCGAAACTAAATTAATAAATTAAAGAAATATCACACGAGATCTTTTTACATTTTTTCTAATAATAATTTAAAAATAAGAAATATTTCTTAATCCTAATGTTTTATTTTATTGTATTATTATACAATAACTATAAACACAGACGGTGCATAACAATGCAGGTATAACAGCTTCTGTGTGCTGATGTTAATGCAAGAGATTGACCTGAAAGCCTGACAAATACATACATACATACAAATATTGTTTATTATATGTTGTTTATAAAAGTATCTGAAGCAAGCGACAGGACAGTGTTTTCATGCAGGAGAAAGTTTATTTAGAGGTGTTGAGCTGATGTGGTGGTAGAAAGAACCTGCCACACATCGCTCATAATCATGTGAAGGTCATTCATTGTAATCAATGAAAATGTAAGGCATCAACAAGTCACGACAGTTTCTTTGTATTCAAAGCGTCTTCATCCCTTTTTCATGTCTCAGTGCTGCTTTCTTCTGAAAGAGCAACCTGTGGAGAAAAAGAAGAGCTGCAGCTCAATCACTGAGAGATCATACAGTCTCTGATTCAGACATGCAGGTCAGATTCTGCCATGGGCATTTAAAATGGAGATAACTGTGAATTTTAGATTACAATGAAGACTTCTCTATCACAATTTAAAGTTCAGATGTACTAACCTCAGATGTAATAAAGCTTAGTTTCTAACAGCAGATGGTGCTGTATGCTTCACAAACAGCCATACTCTGCTTGCATCTAATTCCTTACAAATACCACCTGAACTTATGAAATAATCATTAATAAAGCAAGGATGATTCAGACGATCCTTTGAATGAACATTATTAATCATTATTTTTAAGTTCAAGAGATCTTATGATGACATCTACCATGAAAAACCAGCCTACAGCGCTATCTGTGACTAAAACTAGCATATTTCCTCATCTGGTAAAAGCTAGCCTAGAGCGCCATCTAGTGTTGACCCTTGTGCACAGATCAATTTTTCTAGCCTTTTGTTATGTTAAGAATGAAAACATCCACTGAATGAAAGTGCTGTAAATATGCATCAGATGTGTGTGTGTGTGTGTGTGTGTGTGTGTGTGTATATATATATATATATATATATATATATATATATATATATATATATATATATATATATATATATATATATATATATATATATATATATATATATATAAATATAATTTTTTTTTCAAAATGTTTTGCATGAATCTGTTAATCAAGCTCAGTCCTGATCAAAACTACTAAATTGTGTAGAAAATTACAGGATTTTTACTCTTTAATTGCCAAACGCATAAATGATGTCACTGATTTGGTAAAAAAAACAGACTAAATGGCGTATTTTTAATATAAATTTTTTTTATATAAAAAACAGATTTTGTTTTTTTTATCTTTTAGCACAGTCTTGGACATGTGAATGATTACTAACAACAATGGATTGTTAGATTTTCATTTTTCCCTCCCTAATCTCCTGTTGCTGGCTGTTTTTAGCTCATTGACTTCCATTATAAACACATTTGATGATGCATAAATACACAGTCTTTGTTTTTGTTTACTCCAAGTAGTTCTGAGATGCATATTTAGATTTTCACAGATACATCAAGGTAAGTGCGTAAAGGTCTCTCTTACACACTCAGACACACACATACACACACTTTAATTGCAGAAGCTAAGTTTTTTTTTTGCACAGGCTTGTCTAAAGGGTTAATGGTGCCAACTGATGATAACAAGACAAATTTGACCACTTCCCAACAGGAAAAACCACCAACAATAAAACATGGATGAATTATGTGCTGTAATGGTTTTGTAATATAAATTGTGTTTATAATGGAAGTCAATGGAGGAAAAACAGCCAGCAACAGTAAATAAAAGAGAAAAAAATAAAATTTCTCAAAAACAATGCATTAAAGGTGATGCTGTTTCACATGTCCAAGACTGTAGACCACAATGACTTTTTATATTGACAATACGTCATTTTGTGTGTTGTTTTTCCAACTAAATCAGTGAAATTTGGCAATTAAAGAGTTAAAATTCTGTAATTGTCTAAGCAATTGAATGTTTTGTCTAAGCACAAAAAATGTGAAATAAATATCTATCTGATGCATTTTCCAGCAGTTTAATTTAGTGGATGTTTTCATCCCGAACATAACAAAAGGGTAGTCCATCTACCATCTAGTATTAAAAAGTTTTTAGTAATTAATTTTTTTAAATTACAAAAACATATCTCAGTAAAAATACCAGAACATTTAAAAAAAAGCTTTATTTAAGTTACTTTATGCATTGACTGATGAAATGATAGATAATTAAATATTATAATATTCAATAAACTACTAATAGACCTTGACAATTTGTTCTGTTTTACAGTTTTACCAGAAACAACCTGAGATAAAGCAGCTTTACCCATGGCAGAAACAAGCTTCTGTATTGCGATCATGTACTATAATGAGTAAATAAACACACCCTCAGTGAGTCTTGCTTTTCCTCCTGTGGGCTGGCAGAGCACTGTTGAACAACCGACACACAGGACCACCGTCTGCGCGTGACTGAACACCGTCGTGATCTTATAACAGCCTGCGTGCAGATCACGGCTCGGTAAGTTACTTAAAAAATAGTTAATTACTAGTAACATCATTACAATTAGGGCTGCACAATCTATTGTTCCAGCATTTTGTATCGTAACGTGAACATTCGCAATTGTAGGATCTGCAATGGTGACTTCAGTTTATAATTGATCATTTGCATGTTTTTAGGGCCTATGACCGTACGTTCACACCGAAAGCGGCGAGAGCGTCAAAGTAGCCGGAAGTCATTCATTTTCAATGAGAGCCGGCGGCGATAAGCGTCGAGGAGCAGCGCGGCGTGTCTTCTCCGGCGTGGGCGTCGAGGAGAGTTGAAATAAAGTCAACTTTATGGTAATGAGCTATGATGCGGTTCGGCGGCAAGCAATCAGAATGAAGACGTCCACCGCGTGATCGGAGTTCAGAGAACACAGACCTGTGAACTTTGGTTCCGACCACAGTTGTTCCCAAGCGTTTGATGATTGCGGTTGCCGGATTTTCCATTATTTACAATGTTTTCTTACAGGAACATGCATTAAATAGGTTACTGGCGAGTTACTGATGTTCATTAATGTTATATAAATTTATCTTAAAAAAGCGGGAAAGTCACGCGACGTGACAGTACAAAACAGTATAGCTGCTTCAGGATATATCAAACATATGGACACATATTGGATAAATAGAGCAAAGCCACACCACACGCAACTTGATCTTCCATTGTTATATGAGTTTGATAAGAAGTGCGCAACATTTTCACGCTAGAAACATGTTTTATACAGGAATGTAACTGACATGCTGCAACGGCTCCTTTAAATACGAGATCAATGTAGCGAGTTTTGACGCTCTCGCCGCCGGAGCTGAAGGCAGACAGCGGTGGCGCCAGGGCGGCCAGAGCGACCTTGGAAGCTCTCGCCGCTTTCGGTGTGAACGCACGGTGAGGACTTTAAAAAAATTCAGGAATAAGAAATTGTACCGTTGGTAAACGATTAATTGTATTAAATTATTTATACAATGATGAACATGCCAAATTTATTACATTTAATCAAGTCCATTACAGTACCTCAGAACCAAACGGTTCATTTCACTTGTATGTTTTTCTTTATTGTATTTAAATTGTGCATGTAGATTGTTTATAATGTTTTATGGAGATGCACCTACAAAATCATCCCAATCGATCAACTATCCGCTTGTTAAGTGTGACGTCACGCGAAGGGGCTTCCGGGTCCAAGCGCTCTATGAAACTGAATGGGGAGACTCATCAAATGGAAATAATAAACATTTACAAAGCGATACAATGCTTTTGAAATTAACGATCGCAATATATATGTCCATGCCTAATATCCGATGGCCAGAAAGTGATTAATTTTTTTTTATAAATTGTTAAAATTTTGGTATTTGTGATGCAGCAAGCCCAGAGATTGTTGTGTACACTAACGCCTGTTTCACACCGCAAGCGTCAGCGGCGCGTGAGCAGAGCGTGAGCAGCCCGTGTGTTTTCGGCGTCCATGTTAACAGATTAGAGCTTTCATACCGCACGCAGCAGCAGCGCGTCAGAGCGAGGCGTGAGCGTCGCCGAAGCAGCAGTGCAGCGATAGTTTCGGCGCTGGGTCTATTTTTGACGCGCTGCTCACGCTCAATTAAAGTGACAGTGCATTGAGAATGACCAAAACACATTGAATGACAGTAAAAACTAACAATTTTACCCAATAAATACGTTAATAATGTCAAATGGTTTATATATAGTCATTCAAATGAACTTAAAACGATTAAAAACGGCAACAAACATTAATTTAGGCCCGAACTACAAAACCAAATGTAAAACTATTTTACTATCAGTTTTGCTTAAGTTGCACACTAGTGTTGTAGGAGAGGGGAAATGGAATATTTACGGGATTTGTAGTCCATAGCGAAGTGTATTGTGGGTAGTGTAGTGCGACACGCATGCTGGATGATGTGAGCTCGCTGTGTTCTGTGCAGCTGAGCAGAGCAATAAAGTTTTAATCGGCTTTGTTTTATGTTCACTTGAATTATTCCTACCGGGAGCTGTTTGCACTGTGAATCTGACAACACGAAAATAAGTAAAAGAATGGCATGCATTAATTACTTTTGTCCGTCTCATCATCTGCACGAGCATGAATTAACGAGCTGTTATTCTGCCGCTGGACATTACTGAAGCGGAGAAATTAACACTAGTTTGATCATGTATAAATATCATTATAACTATATTGTATAAATATGATTATAACTAGGTCTACAGCAACCTGATAATCAAAAAACAAATGACATGATATCACAGGCGATTGTCTTCTGACTGTAGACAATTCTCATATAAGTTAGCTTTAGAAGCATACAGTACTATTTGATCTATAAAATTTGTAAAATAAACATTTGCAGGTTAATGAAACAGCATAGGAGGGGCCTTGGTACAGATGAAAAGTTTAAAAAGTGTATTTGTATATAGAGGGGTAACTAGATAGAATAGACAGAGATAGGTTGATCTCAGCAGCAGCTGCCGAAGAGCTGCGCACTGCAGACGCAGCTGGTGTGAAAGGCAAACGCCTGCGTGCTGCTACTGCTCGACATACGCGCTGGCTCACGCTCTGCTCAGGCGCCGCTGAACGCTTGGGGGGTGAAAACGGGCGTAAAACTGCGTCCGAAAACAGGACTAAGGCTGCGTCCGAAACCGCATACTTCCATACTATACAGTACGCTAAAATCAGTATGCGAGCCGAGTAGTATGTCCGAATTAATAGAATTTGAAAATCAGTATGCGAGCCGAGTAGTATGTCCGAATTAATAGAATTTGAAATTCAGTATGTGAGAACTACCCAGATTCTTCCAGCGAGATTCTGGAGTGCGCAGCCCATGATGCCCCGCGAGAGAATTCATGAATGGGAGTAAAGCGACGCAATTGACGCAGGTAGGTCACGTGATCATGACAAAATGGCGGATGTAGTACGTCTGAATTCCATACATACTTTTCGCATTCATACTGTATAGAACGCATTTTTCTAACGGCCGAGTAGTACGTTTAAATTCAAATGCAGTACCTACTGAGTAGTAGGCGGTTTCGGACGCCACTAATGACTTTATATAAAATTCACTTTATTGTGTGATATGAATAAAAAGTGATCATAAACGAGTATTTTGACAAATTTAGTCATATTTTGAAGATCGTGTAAACTCCGTACAGAAACGTCAGGTGGCTTGGTAAAGCCTGGAACCAGAGACATTCTTGCTGTGAGGCAACAGTGCTAACCACTGGGCCACCGTGTCACCCATCTAGGAAGAAGTAGAGGTGGATGAGGGGATTCTTCAAAACGAAGATAGCGGTGGTAGATAATTTGAAGTAGCTTAGGAGTCGTCTGATTGGTGCATTGAGAATTGGATAATGCAGATCCAGCCGCTAGCAATCATAAGCACGTGATCTTTTCGAAATTAGTTTATAAATAAACTTCACTTAGTTGACAAATTATTGTGCAAAATGTAGGTTACTCTGCTTCTCTAAATTAATTTAGAATGGTTGAATTTCGCACAGTAAGCAAACATATTATAAGAAACTGTAATAAATCGACCTAAACACAAGAAGCAATCCCCTACGTTCATTTTTTTCCGCTAAAAAAAGTACTTCAATTATACTAACTAGTTACCTTGTAACTAAGTACAACCAAAACTGGAACAGTTAAGCAAATATTACACTCTCCAAACCAAATATCAGCCATAATAAAGCAAATATAAATAAATAAACAGTTTCAAACCTGGACATTTTACATCCATGAAGTATGAGTTTGGACTCTGAACAAGCCTCTTCTTCTTGTGCTGCCTCCTCTCCAAATCAAAGGACGGGTTGATCAAATCTCTGGCCAACTGTTATATTAAAACACAGAAGATATATTTTAATATAATATAAAAACTTATAATATCCATCTCACACACAGTGAAAATACAGTTGAAGCCAGAATTATTCCCCCCCTGAATTATTAGCCCTCCTATTTATTTTCCCTCAATTTCTGTTTAACAGAGAGCAGATTTTTCCAGAACATTTCTAATGATAATATTTTTAATAACTCATATCTTAACACGTATTTATTTCATCTTTGCCATGACGACAGTAAATAATATTAAACTAGATATTTTTCAAGACACTTCTGTAAAGCTTAAAGTGACATTTAAAGGCTTAACTAGGTTAATTAGGTTAACTAGGCAGGTTAGGGTAATTAGGCAAGTTATTGTATAGCGATGATTTGTTCTGTAGACTATGTAAAAAAATAAAGCTTAAAGGGGCTCATAATATTGACCTTAAAATGGTGTTTAAAAAATTTGACCCTAAAATGGCTTTTAAAAACTGCTTTTATTCTAGCCAAAATAAAACAAATACACAAATATATAGAGGGCTTTTCCCCTTTGATGAGATATACTAAGGGAGAATGTCAATTGAAGTGTTTCTGCTTTTACCAGGTGTGTTTATAAAATATATAATGCATTCATATTGACCATTAGCAGCTGATTATGTTTACACACTGCTGCCACACTAGGCATGAGCCAGTATAAGATTCAGATGGTATGATAACCTTGGGTAAACATGTCACGGTTCCACGATATCACGGTATTGTAATTACTGCTCTAAAATATGCTGTTTTTAAATGTCTGGGTAAAAAAAAACTAGTTTTCTCCCATTGAAACTGGTATATATTTTTTTACATTTAAAATATTTTGAAACAATAAATGTCAGGCTAAATAATTTAAATAAGTCATTGACTTTAGCTGTCCTAATTTGTTTCGAAAACACTGATTTCAACTTGAAAAGACATCTTTAAATATCTTTTCTTAGGATATAAAGTAAGTCACTGTACTGTTCAGCTCTACAGCATGCTCGATGTTAGTTTATAAGATTTGTTTTTCAGATGTTTCCTGAATCATGGACTCATTATAGTTTGTGCTGTGGAAGATCCCTTTCTACTGTTACCCTAAAAGAAACCCTCAATAAAATAGTCGTAAAAAAACACGTAAAAATAATAACAACTTACAAATACCTTAGGAACGGTATAACAGAAAGTTTAACAGTTTTAAAACCTTGACTTTTCAAATCCATGGTAAACCTTGAAACTGGTTTTTGTGCCATGCCTGTGCCACACAACTGTGTTTTAAAACCCCTTATTAAAGTAATTTTTGCGGAAGAGGTCCCCTTTAAGCTTATAAGAAATGTCTTTAGTTGTTCGTAAAACAAAACAATTATTCATTAAAAATATTACAAATTAATAAAAACATAAATTGTAAATCCAGAGAAGTTGAGAATGTCCTTTTGTTATATTTTCTCTTACAGCATCTGGGCAATATTAGTCAAGCAACTTATATTAATCCAACGAAAACAGCTGACACAGTTATTTTCACCAACTTTAATCAACCAGCTGATGAAAACACTCAATCAGCACAACTATACTTGAGAGGAGGGGAAAATAAACCTAGTCTGAATCCCCAATATCAGACCTAAATCTGAACAAATCTTAAACAAATGTTGGCTGAATTTCAGTTTCAGAATCAGATCACTGCAGTGCAGCAAAAAAAACACCAAGGCAATGTTGTCTAAAAATATAATAAACACCTGAAAACATGCAATCCTATCTATGATTTAGACAAATTATCATTTAATTCTCAAAATAACATTTATTTAAGTTGACAAGACATATCTTGAGATGTTTGTAAAACAAAACCAATAAAAATACAAATAAAACAATAACTTAAATATAGAATCTAACTCCAGAGAAGCTGAGAGTGGCTCTCTTTTAAAATAAAAAACAAAATCTATCAATATTATTCAAGAAATGTATATGAATCCAACAAAAACAAACCCCCACAGCTTACTGAAGGCTGCCTGCAAACAAAAACAACAGTTCAACAGCCATATTGAGCATTTCCATCACTGTCAGTCCAAAAACTACAGTGGTTTCAGTCTAAAATGATGTAAACATCACTAATTGGGATAAATAAACGATTTTACTCGAGAGTATTTCGTTTTAAATCGTGTAAAGTGAAACATTAGGCCGAATGTGAACCCTGCACGCAGCGCCATGTGAGGATCTGTAACTTCCACATGTTTATCGCACGGTTAAACTATCCAACAAACTTGATTAACATTAAAACCCAAAACACTACAGCGCATTTTAACGACTGTCACATCGCTGTGTAATCGAGTAAATCCACTTACAGGCATTGTGAAGAGCTGCAGCTTTTCGCATTCGTGTGTTTTCCTTCGAATCTGGATCTCTCGGACTGAACTGCGCGGGGTTGCCAGGTGCAGCTACATAAAGCAAGCGAAGAAAGACATGCCCAGACATGATCCACAATAAAACACGCCTTCACGCCATTAAACCTTATCAAACATCACAACATAACCGGGATTTCCGGATTATTACATCAGTCTGACTACAGTAAGTGACTGTGCTTCAGGTGATATGCTGTCTCATATCTAAAAAAGATAACATGATTATATGTTGGAGAGTCATATATTGACCGTATATCAAATGTGAACGTATCAAACTACTGATGTTATGTTAATAGTAATAATAGTAATAATTCAATTATATAAAATGTATAATTATCAATTGTTAAAAATTAAAAATATATGTTAACAGGACACAAATAGGGGTGAAAATCCCGTACTGGCAACCCTGCCAATAATTCTCAGAGCTCCTCAAGGTCTTTCTATTGTGTTTAGCACCTACGAAGTAAACAAACACATTTGATAGTTTTATTTTAATTCTTCTCTTGTTGTTGCTCTTTCATCGACGCTTAGTGGCAGCCTAATTAAAGCAGCGCTAAAATGTTATCTTTGTTTGGTGAACTTTGGTGCTTTTTGTTGTTCATGACGTCATTTTTTAAAACAAAATAATAAAAGCCAGATATTGTACAAAATCAACCATTTGGATGAAACCTTGTCAAATGAATGAGCTTCAGTTAGTGTTATTAATTATGAATGCTTTCAGAGTGAAATGTTTGGACTTTTTTACATGATAGCAATATCCCAGATAGCAGGCAGTAATCGGCCCGAGCTCGGCTGCCCTCCGGCGCCTCCGGCTCCGACTCGGCATCGGCGAGTGTTATCCGGGCCGAGTGCGGCCCGCAGCTCGCTCGCGCATATGCGGCTTTGATGCGGCTGTAAAGCACTGGCCCGATTCCGGTCAACCATATGGCAACCGATTAAGGCTGATGGCAACCGATTAAGTTCTTATTTTATCTAGTAATCTGTTAGCTCCACGTTTAATGATAATTTGAGAAAATATTCATGGTACGATAGCAAAAAAAAAAAAAAAAAAGAATATTTAGTGTGGATGGTCGCAATGTTTAGACGCAAACAAAACAATATTATTTATAAATAGATTATACATGTCATCTAGAGAAAAACTATGTAAAATTCGCTTATTTTTGAGATAGCACGCTACTGTGCTGACTGTTTTTGTTTTAAAGCAGAAGTTGGTTTCATAATAAACACATGCGTGACTAAACTCATGATCCACACTCCAATCCAGACGGTGGCGGTAATGCTCCAAAAAGCTGGTTGTCAACCACCATGGCACGAAGATCACAAGAAGAAAAAGTTTGGTTTTTTAAATATTTCATGTGGATTCCGGTCAGAAAGGTAAGCTTTTTACTGCTTGTGTACTGTATAATTAGCAAATGTAGAGCTTAAAACATTTCCACGGTGTTTGGTTGTAACAGCGTTTAGTAATTTACAACAGTTTGATACGAAATGTAACTTGCTTTAAGAAACACGACTGGAGCTAATGTATGCTAACGCTAACAGTTACAAACACGTCTGAAAGTTCCTTTTCCTAACACAATGTTAGATTGTAACGTGTGTAGTAACTGAAAACTATTTTAATTATTTTAAAGAAACATGAAACGAATTTGTGTGTGTGCTAACTTTGCGTTAAAGAAAGTTTCTGTAGACGAATCCATTACCATGGCAAAACGTGTTTTTTTCCTGATTTAACATTATAAAGTACCGTGGA